AGAGATAGTGTGGATCCCTCCAACTGAAGAACCATCATAGATGACTATGTCTCTGTCTCTCCCACTGCCAGTGAAGAGACACTGTGACTCTTCTCCTCCTCCAGACTCAGAGGAACCACATAGCTATAGTCAATGCGTTGGTGTCCGGCAATTCCACTCTATGAGATACTGTGGGCTGGTGGGGCCTTGAAGGCACAACTGACACACTTGTGGGTTCCATGGCGCTAATAGAAATAATATTTAGTCACAGCCATTTAATGCCCTCCTCGAATGATTCTCCTTGCTGATGCAAACATGGAACTATGGAAAACTCATGCCTTTATTGCTGACAGTACCTCTATATGTTACGTTGTCTCTCTTGTCCCTGGCTCTCAGAGTTGTTATTATAGACCAGTGTCACTTAATGTGCCACTAGTAGCGGACTGGTGGGTGGTTACTGTCCTTCTTCTACTATCCCGGTGGTTTTCTTTCTTCTCTGCAGTCTCGCCAACACCCCCTCTTTGACTGGTCCCTCCCTCCAAACCATTCTGCCATTTGAGAGTGACTCATAGTATCCTCATTTCCTTCTATTCCAGGTGAAGTAGATGACTGTGAGTCATTCCCTCTGTTTTGTAGTTCAGTTATTACTTCAGAATTGGGAATAGCTAACATGTGGTTGAAGTCCCAATTTAGATGAAGCATCCTCTGCTGTCCTCCATTTACTATCAGGTATATCACATTTCCCCATTTCCTATCCTGACGTTCCTCCTGTTCGGGCATTGAGATAGACCACTCCATCTCCTCTAGTGACATACAGTTCACCCTCTTCCTACTGGTCCCGGCTGACTTTTCTTCCCCCCTCTCACATCACGCAGTCCCTTGTCCATTGCTACCACACTCTGCGTTGTCCGTCACACAATGCAGTAGTGTCATTGTGGCCTTCTCCAATAGTTACCTGAGTCTCGATCTATGAAAGAGTGTTACCAGATCTTCCTCTCTGATCACTCAATCGAGGTAGACTGAGAGCTAACTCCTGCTAGCAGTAAACTGACACCAACAGACAGAGCTGCCATGCTGTCCCTAGCTATGACTATGTTACTGTGGTCACGTACACACACAAAGCATGCCAAGAGTGGGCATTAGGTCGAACAAACAGTAGCCGTATATTATTCGTCAATAGAAGGCAAAACACGCACACAAGTTTGTAGCAGCAAGAGCAATACATAATATCTGTACATATGTTGCTAGACCTCTGACATCTGCATGCAACGGCCACTAATCGTTGGCGTGGGATGTGAGCTTATATGTTCCAGAGTGTTCTGTAGTGCTGTTGATCGCCAGTCCTCCGACTCCATCTCCCGTCAGCTCCTTGACACTGGCCTCGCAGCCTTGTCCAGTAGACCCTTGATCACTGGCAGAGCCTGTGTACATACAGCAGAGGGTAATATCATAGTAGCACCCCTGTTTGCCATAATACCATGTTGAGGTATTCATGTGTGCAGGAGAAGATAATGCACTTAACATAGTTAATGTGTATGAGCAGATTCTTGTGTGAAGTGTGCAAAAGCTCTTTAGGCATGTGTATATGTTAGATGTTGGTTTGTTAGTGACAATGCGGGATTAGCTACAGAGTGGCTCTTAATACCAGCGTCATGTGAGATTTGACTTGGACTTTTCTGATATAAGAAGGCTCAAAGATTTAGTTGTACAGTAGAACCTAAGGGGTCAACGATATCGTCCCTTTAGAGAAGTTGTCCCTATATCGGAGGTCAAATACACTAAAGAATGAAAAGCACTGAAGTGCAAACTCTCGGCGCACTGTGTGACGCGCACCCGTAAGTAAACGCATGCGCCGTACCACTAATTGATGGGCTGGGTTTAGTTTTAGCTGTTACTCGTGGTCTCTTGCCAGCTCGCGCAGAGTCTGACGCGGACAAACTACACTACTAGATAGCATGCGAGAGGCGATACACGCCCTGCGTTGCATCTTCTGGTGCCTCCGAGGTACGCAGAGCACGCGGATCGATCATGCCGTAGTAAGCCGTTGTGTATTTGCATATTGGCTTTTTCCGCTCTAGCTTTGCAACGGAGCGTTTTCAGAGAAAACCGTTCGAAAATTCTGACATTCATTGCCCGTTCAGTAGGTGGTATCCTTTGTGAGACGAAAGAACATTCGAGAAGTGAGATGAAGAGTAACGGACAGACAGACAGACAGACAAACCCAATGAAAAGCACTAAAGTGCAAACCCTCGGCGAAGTAGCTCGCAGAGAGTCTGACGCGGGCTAGCTACAGTTGTAGATAGCACGCGATAGTCGATACACGACACTCGTTGTGACTTCTTGTGCCTTCATATAGGTTAGATGCGGAGCCGAGGTGACTACGCGTGGTAGAGTGCGAGGGCTCCCGAGCTGTCGGCGTCCACGAGCGCAGCGAGGGCGCTACTAGGGAGCCCGAGGCACTCTACCACGCGTAGTTACCGTGGCGACGCGTCTAACCGGTTTAGATCCATTCAAACTGTTTGCGAAGATATGGCCGCGCCAGGCGAGCTGTTACTATCTTGTCTAGACCAGGAAGACTCCGGGAAGGAACTCGACATACTCATGCTTGCCGCGAGCCAATCCTCGAACGCTCTGGCAGATACGTGCGCGTAGAGTGGGCGGAGCCCTTTTCCGCGAAGCGCGGCGGACGACGAGGGAATGCTGTAGCTTTCGCCTACCGTTTCTGGCTCGCCGCTCGCTGGTAGCTGAAACCTCGCTCGAGTCTCTCTTCACGCTCGCTCCCCAATAGATCCCGTCGTCCGGGGCAGCGGGATCTACGGAAAATAGATCCCGCGTTTGGCCCAATGAAATTGCGCGATTTCAAATCACCGGGATCTAAAAGATAGACAGAGCAAGCGGACCCGGTGTCGCGGTACATTTCATCCCCCCGAATTTTTATCCGGCCGGATAGGATATTCTATCCCCCCCCACGGATAAATTTTCCTAGGATATTCTATCCGCACCCGGGATATTTTATACCCCGTGCTGTGCGTTAATAGGAGTGTCGAAACACAGGCGGGGTGTGTTGTTTTGAGGTTCTGTGGGGGATTTCAACGTTACAGAATGCGATGACAGCCTTGTTTGGAGTTACACCAGCGGACTGTAGAACACTACCGGATATCCCAGCGAGCGTGGGGCTCAGGTTGCAGGTGAATGCGAGCAGACCCGCGCAACCGCTGTGTCTCGAAGAGAAAGAGAGTGCAGTCGTGCAGATTCAACTCGGTATGCATGAGCAGCGACGGCGCCAACAAAAATGGTCCCGCGCGTTTACCGTATGCGCAGAAACTTTTCTTATTAGAGGGATAAAATATCCCGACCCCGGATATTCCACACTAAGAGTATTCTATCCGGCCGGATAGAATATACTATCCCCCGGATAAAATACACGGGGGATAAAATATACTGTGACACTGGTCCTGTGCTAAATATAAGCGCATGCGCATTAGGCCGCCAGCGATAAATGGCGACTACAGCATTTGCCATACAATGCTGGAAGCGCTCTAGCTATCAACGGAGCATTTTCAGAGAAAACCGTTCGAAATTTCTGACCTTCATTGCCGGTTAAGTAGGTTGTATCGTTTGTGAGACGAACAGACATTCGAGAAGTGAGATTGAGAGTAACAGACAGACAGACAGACAAACCCAGCTACAGTACCCTCGCTGCGCATGCGCGCCGAGGGTTAATTATCATGGGGTTGAAACAATAATCCTTTGTAGAGAGGTCGTCCCTTTCTCGGAGGGTCCCTTATCAGAGGTTCCACTGTAGTCAAATGCATCCAGGGCACAGTAAGTCTCATGCTTTAGTTACCTGTTCATTTCCCTTCTCGTAGAAGAGCATGTAGGTGTTGAGGAGTTCCACCAGTAGCTGGACCTGGACTGACGTGTCCATACACTGCTGAGCTATGCGACCAGCCTTCTTGAGACACTCCAACACTCTCTTCGGGTCCTTACACTGCACAGGAAATGCAACACATCACTTCACTCCACGATGAATATCCATTTTCAACTACAGTGCAATACCGCCGTTGAAAAGAAATGAAGCCAAACCACTAGTCTACTAGCACCTGAAATATTTTCACCTAAGGTAAGTTGAACTTGTCTAGAGATTTGGCAACTTAAAGCTTTGGCCACTGACCGTATGCCAATTCAGAAGTAGTGTGCATAGCTAAAACTGCTAAAAACTTAAATAGCGACCCTGCCATTCCCCCACTATACGGTAAAACATGATTACTCTGAATTAAAGGGGCAGTGAGTGAGGCCGAGTCACACTGACCTCAGTGACCTCTCTGTCTTCGCTGGTGAAGTGGCCGGACCAGAAGACGTGAGCACACGTGGCCACGCTGCGGCACTGATCTGGCTTCTTGAGGAGGCGGGAGGAGGACATGGCGCAGTTGGAGCGCAGCGTCTCGTGGTTCTCCTCCCCCAGACTGGACAGCTGCTCCAGGGTGGCGATAATTAGAGTGATGGCTGCCTGCTGGGCCCGGGAGTCCGTCACCTCTTCTTCGTACAGAGTGAAGGCCTAGGGGAGGGCAGATGGTCATGGTGGTGAGGATTTAATACTAGGGCTTTTCAACAATAGGCAAGGTATTACAAAATGAATATGATTGTACTACAAAACTGAATGCAACAAAGTTTTAGTGAGCGAGTGCGAGTGAAAAATGTGACTGGTCTTATGCATTCTTAAAGCACCCAGAGTTGTATATGGAAATGTAAGCAATATTATTTAGACGACAAGGTGACTTGTTTAGCTTTGCCAATGAGAAACATACACTGAAACACCACAAAGGCCCAATACACACACAATATGTAACTCCTGGGTCACAAACAGAGGGTTAATGTCACCTGGCTGAAGAACTCGTATGTGACGGTCTCGTTGCTGATGCGGTCGGCCACCATGGAGCCCTGGAGGAAGAGTCTCAGAGAGAGCTCCGGCTGGTTCTTGACCAGAGCATTGATGGTCTGGAAACAGAACTTGAATATCTGCTCACATTTCATGAGCCAGCGGTCGTCCTGCAGAGAGAGATAGGGAAAGAGAGGGAGAGAGATTGAGAACTGTTACACATATCTGTGACGAGGACGAGAATTCCAATAGTAAAATAATGAGCAAACCTTTTTAGTAAACATTACGGTTCGGACAGAGCTGTGTACATGCTAATAGTATGCAGAAAAATCAGATAAAAAGGTGGGCTTGCTTCGCTCACCAATAAAAACTTATTTTCAAAAAAACAGGTCATCAGGCAATACTTTGAGAGAGCAACTCATTAACGAAATGCTCGGTTTTACACCGCATCACCATAAGAATGTATGAAAACAGTTAGATGAAGCTTTCATATGCACACTGGTATATACTCTGTGTGAATACTACCATCATGGCAATACGTAGAGTGAAGGTCAAAGTGGGGATGGATTCTGGACAGACCTGTTCTCGGAGAGAGTGGTACTGGGAGATGAGTTTGTAGGCAGCAAACACCAGGGGAGGCAGAGTGAATCGAATCCTCTTGTCTCCTCCCGTGCCAAAGTGCTTCCGAGCTACATTCAGTATCTGCAGGACAGCATTCACTACTGCACAAGTAACTACACACAACAAGGCTACATAATATCTAGACTTTATTCAACAATTCTCCAAAAGAGTCATTATAACAATCTTCAGTGTTTCCTTTAAAAACAAGTGACAGAGAGGGCATATCAGGGTTCATAAAGCTCAAAGGTATACTTTTGTGGCGGAGGAAATCCATCGTCTAAAAGAAATTGTGGGACTAAGAGGTAGTTAGCTACTAGTGGGTACATATTACGTATGCACCATGTACTGCTGGTCAGGTTCAGGGGCTCTGAAGAGGTCCACGAGACAAGCCATCATCATCTGCTCCTCCTCGAAGTCGTCCGGATCGGGAGGTTCGGCCGGCTGGTCTGCCTGGTCCTTCACCAGTGGGGACAGCAGCTTGAACAGAGCATCCGCCTGCAAGATAGAGAATGAGAGAGAGCTGATTCACAGGGAGCTTTCTTACCTGCAAATTACACGTTTATGTTAATGCATACAGAATAGTTGGAAATAGAGCCAGGCCAGGTTTACTGGATAAACTGGATAGTTTGTCCCCCAGATTACTTTTTATAATGTGAGAAAATGGAGTTAGCTACCGATGGTGACCTGTACATACCTCATCAGCCGTAGGGATGGATATAGACTTGCTCACTACAGTCCCCACCACACTAACAGCTAGAGACTTGCGCCCCTGATAGTCATGGAGCTCCAATGCCTGTAGGGAAGGGAGAGGGAGGGAGGGAGGGAAGGAGGGAGGGAGGGAGATGAAGAACGAGAGGATGTGATGTAAGATGAACGAAACGGAGTGGAGAAGGGAGAGAGAGAGAGAGAGAGAGAGAGAGGTGGGAGACATTGAGAACCAGCTTACCGAGTGTTCTGACCATCGTCTACAGAGTGTTATGAGACAACCATGATAGGTGGTGGGACCCTCACTTTGGGGAAGTTGTCTAGTTTGAGGATGTCAAGTGTGCTCTCGTAGGTCTTGACCGGGACATTCTGCAGTCGAATCAGCTCTCGGGACGTGACCGACGAACTTTCCACTCTGAACAATGACAAGAGCAAGAGAAATTTCTAAATAGAGGTGGAGGAAGCTAAGGGTCAGAAAATTTGAAGCATTGGCTTCTAAATTTGCTAGGTAAAGGCTGTTGTTCTTCTACGAATGCACAACACTATCACCACCAAATCGCTCCTCACTTTCCCCCAACAACCCGGCCCCTTGATGGCAGTCAATGATGTCTAAGTACGTACGGGGTGGCTTCTCTCTTGGTGAAGACCTCCACGGTACAGAGGAGGGCGGTGTCCACATAGTCCAGTCTGTTGGGGTAGCACTTGAGAGCCAGGTTCACCAGTGAGGCATACAGAGCCACCACGTCCTCCAGTGGCATGGCCGCACGCCCCTACATATGAGATGAAATGAGAGGAGCAATAGAATGCACCAAACACTCCAGTATAGAGTGAGATAGAAGAGAAGGGAGATATAAGGGACCAAAGTGGAAACTTTGTCCATTTCAAGGTGTGAGAGTCACCTATCAACCTCAATTGGTGGGGTATCCAACAGAGTTGCTTACATAAGTATGCATAATAGTAATGAAGCTAAACCATTAGTGTCACTAGCACCTGAAATATTTTCACCTAAGGTAAGTTGAACTGGTCTAGAGATTTGCCAACTTAAAGCTTGGCCACTGACTGTATGCCAATTCAGAAGTAGTGTGCATAGCTAAAACTGTGAGAAATAAAGTAGCAACCCTGCCATTCCCTCACTATACGGTATAACATGATTACTCTGAATTAAAAGGGCAGTGAGTGAGGCCTAGTCACACTGACCTCAGTGACCTCTCTGTCTTTGCTTGGGCAGTGGACGTGGGCACACGTGGCCACGCTGTGGCACTGATCTGGATTTTTGAGGAGGCGGGAGGAGGACATGGCACAGACACAAGTCAATTTCACAACCTTACACTGTGACTATAGTGTACCCATATATGTGCTTTACACGAAGTTGTCTTGAGGGGGGGATAGGATATGGAAACAGAACATGCATTTCCGTTTCTGTGTGCTTATATACCTGGCTAACACAACCCACACTAAAATGTGATTTACACAGCAGCAACAGATGGTTGAAAGAGGGTGTACATAAATCTCTACAAGGTCTACAAGACGCCTACCGTAATGCCAACAAGTTAACATGCACCCATCTCAATGGTACACGTCATGTCTATGATACAGTATGTGGTCCTTTCCCTTGCAGTGGAAATTATGAGGGAGAAAAGCCGTACCAGACTGGTAGTGAAGCCTGCACTTCCTGCCCCAGCGAACAGCTCTACTGTGTCAACAACCTTTGCTCATGTACATCAAGATGCTTTTTAATTCACCTCTCTCTCTCTCTCTCTCTCTCTCTCGTTGAGTCAGGAGCAGTAGTTGCAGGAGTCTCCCTGCTGGCAGTAGTGCTGATGGCAGTGACTGGTGCTCTGACGCACTAAGCCATACTGTCCAATGAAGGACACATAGGCTTTTAATGCATATACTTAGAGACCAGTCAACATTTTACAGACTTGGCAGTATTAGCCATAGACTTTCCTTTCGTTTTTCGATATTTTTCGTGTTGTCATAAACTAGTAAGAACAGAAGACAAATACAAAGATAGGCAGTGTGTATCTATCGTCTACATAACCATCTTGTCTTTCTACTGGTTGGCGATCACATCATAGGGAGAATCAGTGAGGGGAGGTCCCTGGGATGAGTGTGGGTAATCAGAGGGAGGGTGTGCAGTAGGTCTGGCTGAAGATGATGGTGGCTGACCCACTATCTCATACATGGCCACATCTCCACTGGAACTCTGGTCATGGGACACCACTCCATAGGCTGCATTAGTGGCAGTGGGAACACTCTTACTCTCCACTTCACCTCCTTCTCTCACTCCTCTGTGGGGGACGGAAGTATAGGACCTGTTAGTGTGTATGCCAAGGGTTACAGAATGATGAACTTACGGTTTTTCGAGCATTAATTTGAGGGTCCGATCTTAAGAATGAGTATGACAAACCCCAATGTAGAGACTCCAATGATCAAGATGATGACGAGTGAGAGGATACCTCCAACAATTGAAGCTGACTCATTACTTTCAGTTTCACATGAGGCAGGTTGACCTATGTGATTTGGTTGTTGACAGTTCTTGTATACAATCAGAGAGTCGGTAGACTCTCTATATAGGGACGACACGGGTGAAATCTCACGTGATCCGCGTACAAAACGACTAAAAACTCGGTGAGAATCACTCCCTAGGCCTTCAAAACATACTAGCAATAGTCTACGGGCCCATATCTACCTATATATGTCCCCCAAGATCTCATACGCACCTTCAGTCGTCCACGCGAGAATTCGCTCATACGCGATTTCACGATTTTCGTGTCATCATCAGAGCGTCGGTAGACGCTCTATATAGGGATGACACGAGTGAAATCTCACGTGATCCGCGTACAAAACGCCTCAAAACTCAGCGACAATGACTCACCATGGCTTCAAAATCACTAGCAATAGTCTAGAGGCCAATACCTAGCTATACATATGCCCCAAGACTTCCTACGTGCCCTCAGTTCCCCACGAGAGAATTCGCATCTTACGCGATTTCGCGATTTTCGTGTCATCATCATCATCGATCATCTTCATATTCTTCATCTTTTCTTCTTCAGACCCGCTAGCTCCTTACCGGAAGCAGTTGAAGCGTTGGTTTTTTCACAGAACGTCTCCAAATTTTCCGGAGGTGTGCACGCATATCAAGCGATCGCTTGTTCTTGCCGCAAGTCACTACGGTAGATCGTTGAGCTCTTCCTCGGTAGTCACTGAACAACGCCATTTGTTGCTAACTCAGCATCAGTGAGCCGCATGCGCCGAGGAGGGCGTTTCCAATGCGGTGCGCGCGCATTTTGTCTCGTGAACCTGGTCACGCACGAGACTAAGCCAGGACTGCTAGCCTGCTGAGGAAACTACTCTCATCCTCCTGTGCCTTCTGTAAGTCAGTGTACACATTTGTAAGTGGCTAGCTTGCGGTTTAGCTGTTGATTTGCACGAGGAGCAAACTTGGCAGTGTGCGCCGTGTTACGCGTGCCTTGCCAGCGCCTTCATTCTTCGTTCCCCAGGTTATAGCTATCATTTGTAGTCTGATTTCTGAAGCCTGCCCAATGAAACCACCACCATATGTGCCACAACCTAATCGCCTCCTTGTTGGAGACACACGCCTACTCCCTGCTTCAGGTAAGAGCAGTCCATTAGCTTGTGCTTTCAACAGTTATCTCTACAACATACCCATGAAGACCAGAGTGACTGAAAATGCAGTGTTGTCATAAGCTGTTTAAAAATAGTGGAAACAAGTGGAAAAATCATTTCTTCAAAATGAAAGTGGGATATAGGATGACTTGAAGCACCAAAAAGGAAGAAACAAGGGGTCATTACACACCAAATGCACAAAGCCACATGACACCATCCCTATATCTTTGTTTTATTGTTCATAAGCAAGTTTAATGTGAGACAAAGATATAGGGATGGTTGTCATGTGGCTTTGTGCATATTTGGTTGTGTAATGACCCCTTGTTTCTTCCTTTTTGGTGCTTCAAGTCATCCCTATATCCCACTTTCATTTTGAAGAAATGATTTTTCCACTTGTATCACTACAACCTATGCTACTCATTAGCTTTAGTTAGCATAAACACAGAACATTCCACTTACACTCCATAGAAACTCTTTACTTCTATGTGATGTCATGGCACTTTACAACATTTGGCCTAATTGGTGGTACCCTATTCGTCAAAATTGGTAATGATTAACAGCCCTCAAAATAAATCAGCTTAAGGAATAATTCATCAAACCTGACATACTGAGAAAGATGGAGGCAGAAGAGGAGACAGGACTAGCAGGTCCCAGGAGAGAAGTGAGGGTAACACGACACTCGTATGTGGCCATGTCAGAGAAGTGGACAGGACTGAATGTGAGGCTACTGTGTACACCACCCACATCACCAGTGGCTCCAGATATGGTGAGTCTTGAGTCAGGTCTCACTGGGACTCCCTCTTGAAACCAAGTCACCTCCACTGCTACATCTCTTCCTCTCACCACTCCAATCAGATCAATATCACAATATACTACCACATCTTCTCCTACCAGGATAGTGTCTTCACTTATTCTGAGCATCACAGATGGAGGTGCAACTGTTAGGTGTAGGCATGTATAAAAAGGTAAAATAGTGTGAAGTAGGTCAATAGTGAGAGAACTTACTAATGGGTATAACTCTTTCTGTGTCACTTGTTGTAACAGTTGTCCCTCCATCCACAGTGTAGCTGGCAGTACAGATGTGGTCTCCTCTATGAGCCAGTGATAGTGGGTCTAGAGAGAGTTGACTGGTGAGCACTCTATTGTCAGTTGTGTCAACAGTTTGTTCATCAGTGGATGGTCCCAGCCACTTGATATCAAAGAGAGTCTGGCTCCACTCCACTGGGTAGACTGACTCTACATGTCAGTGTGTATGAGGTCCCTACCACTCCTGACCCTTCTCCTGACACCACCACCTCCGGTGAAACTGAATGTATAAGGAATTTATCTTTAAAGCACAAAAACTCAGCGAGCTATACCAGGAGTGACAGCCACAGGACTGGGAAGGTCTACCAGAGCCACTAGAGAGATAGTGTGGATCCCTCCAACTGGAAGACCAGTCAGTAGATGACTATTGTCTCTGGGTCTCCGACTGTCAGTGAAGGACACACTGTGACTCTCTCCTCCCGACTCATAGTAGACCACATAGCTATAGTCATAGATGGGTGCACTGGCAAATGTCCACTCTAGTGAGATACTGGTGATACTGGTGTAGGTAGCACTGACACTTGTAGGTTCCATGGCAGCTAATATAAATATAAAGTAATATTTTACATTATATAAAGGTAGTTTTAATACCATACCTCGAACAAATATCTGTGCCGACTGACTAAGCAAGGCACCTGGGATATACTCATGTCTGTTGTTGCTCACAGTACATGTGTATGTTTACAGTTGTCTCTCTTCCCTTGACCCTCAGAGTGTTATGATAGACAGTGTTGCTTGATGTGTCCACTATGATCTGACTGGTGGTGTGGTTACTGTCTTCCTCTACTATTGATCCATTCCTCCACCACACCACCACTGTGACTGGTCCTCCCTTACTCTGACATGTGAGAGTGAACTCAGGAGGATCCTCATTTGCCTCTGAGTCCAGAGTGAAGTACATGACTGCTGTCCTCAATTCACCTGTATATACTTTCAGTAAATGAAAAAGTCAATTATGGAGAATAGCTACCTGCGTCTGGAGTCCCAAGGTAGATGTAGATACTCTGCAGTACACCATTACTATCAGGTATATCACATCTCCACATTCCTGAACATCCTCCTGTTCTACGATTGAGATAGACCACTCCTTCTCCTCTAGTGACATACATGGCATTGTTTCCATCTGATCCCTGCTGGACTTGTCTCCCCCTCTCATCATACCTGTCACCTTGTCCATTGCTACAACACTCTGAGTTGTCAGTCACACAATGCAGTGAGTCATTGTGGCCTTCTCCAATGTTTACTGGACCATAACGTGCAGTTCTTCTGCCAATGTTCCCATGTTATCTCCCTCCATGCACACGCTCTCGCTCTCCTCTCCATCCTCTCTCTGCACCTCTTGCACTATCTCTGTCTCTACTCTTTCATGATTGTCTTCCTCCTCTTCAGCCAGCATCTCTTCAATGTCACTGAATTCATCATCACTGCCAGGCATGACGGGCTCTCTGATGGTATCATGTTCCCCCCAGTCCTCTACCTCCTCTTCAACGAACTATGAAAGAGTTGCTTACCATAACATCTCCTCTGAACTCAAATCGAGGGTAGGACTGAGAGCTAACTCCTGCTACCAGTAAAACTACCACCAACAGACAGAGCTTTGCCATGCTGTCTCCTGCCAGGCTTGCCCTAGCTATGACTATGTTAACTGTGGTCACTACACACACAAAGCATGCCAAGTCGGCATTAGGTAGAACAAACACAGTGTATCATTATTCTTCAATAGATGTTCCAGAGTGTTCTGGTAGTGCTGTTGGATCCCATCCTCCGACTCCTCTCCCTCCAGCTCCTTGACACTGCCTCGCAGCTTGTCCAGAGACCCTTGATCACTGGCAGAGCCTGGGTATGTACAACAGAAGGTAATATCATAGTAGCTCACCTGTTTACCACTATACCATGTTGAGGTATTCATGTGTACAGGAGAAGATTATGCACTTAAGATAATTAATGTGTATGAGCAGATTTTCTTGTGTGAAGTGTGCAAAAGCTCTTTAGGCATGTGTATATGTTAGATGTTGGTGTGTTAGTTTACAATGCGGGATTAGCTAGTAGTTATACTCTCATTGAGTGGCTCTTAATACTATGATCATGAAAAAACATGTTTATAGCATACTAGCTCAGAGGAAAAGAAAGAACCTCCCCCACCCAAGCACACAAAACACAGACAATAACATACCCAAGCGTACAAAAACACAGACAATAACATATAAACAGAAAGAAAGAGGCAGGACCCTGGGTGCCCAGCCTTGAGAACCGGGGCGGTAGGTTAAAGAGTCTTTTATGGGCCCAACTCTCCCTACACACCCAGTGTCCCAACCTCCCTTACACATAGTTATAAAATAAATAGATAGAAATCATGTACAAAAAACGACAGCTACAGGATAAAAACAACAGCCGGTAGAAAAATAGAAAGCCTCAAAGGACCAATAAACTCATAGAAAAATATAAAAACTCTGAAACTCACGCAGCACGACGACACGACGGAGACATAAAAAACGTGCGATTATTCTAAATAACGCACAGCATATACACGTGTAAGAAAAATAGAAAAAATAGAACTCCTAAAATAAGATTAATAGTTCTGTCGATTACTTTAAATAACGCACATCATATACACGTGTAAGAAAAATATAAATAATATAAATAATAGTAGAAATGGTAGAAATAGAAATGTTAAAAATAGATTATTCAAAATTAATATGTGACTATAAATATACATTCTATCTATGCGACACATGGCGACTGAGGAGATTTGACTGATATAAGATTTGACTTGGACTGTTCTGATATAAGAAGGCTCAAAGATTTGATTGTACAGTGGAACCTAAGCGGTCAACAATATTGTCCCTTTAGAGAAGTTGTCCCTATATCGGAGGTCAAATAATACACTAAAGTATTAGCATGGGGTTGAAACAATAATCCTTTGTAGAGAGGTCGTCCCTTTCTTGGAGGGTCCCTTATCGGAGGTTCCACTGTAGTCAAATGCATCCAGGGCACAGTAAGCCTCATGCTTAAGTTACCTGCTCATTTCCCTTCTCGTAGAAGAGCATGTAAGTGTTGAGGAGTTCCACCAGTAGCTGGACCTGGACTGAGGTGTCCATACACTGCGGAGCTATGCGACCAGCCTTCTTGAGACACTCCAACACTCTCTTCGGGTCCTTACACTGCACAGAAAGAGATGCAAACACATCACTTCACTCCACGATGAATATCCATTCAACTTACGGTGCAATACCTCCATTGAAAAGTAATGAAGCTAAACCACTAGCTCCTGAAATATTTTCACCTAAGGTAAGTTGAACTGGTCTAGAGATTTGGCAACTTAAAGCTTGGCCACTGACTGTATGCCAATTCAGAAGTAGTGTGCATAACTAAAACTGTGAGAAACCTAAAGTAGCAACTCTGCCATTCCCTCACTATACGGTATAGTCACACTGACCTCAGTGACCTCTCTGTCTTTGCTTGGGCAGTGGACGTGGGTACACGTGCCACGCTGTGGCACTGATGTGGCTTCTTGAGAAGGCGGGAGGAGGACATGGCGCAGACTAAAGTCAATTTCACAACCTTACACTGTGACTATAGTGTACCCATATATGTCTTTTACACGAAGTTGTCTTGAGGGGGGATATGGACACAGAACATGCATTTCCGTTTCCGTGTGCTTATATACTTGGCTAACACAACCCACACTAAAATGTGATTTACACGGCAGAAACAGATGGTTGAAAGAGGGAGTACACAATCTCTACAAGGCATACAAATGCCCACCGTAACGCCTACAAGATAACATGCACCTCCATCTCAATGGTACACGTCATGTCTATGATACAGTATGTGGTCCTTTACCTTGCAGTGGAAATTTTGAGGGAGAGAAGCCGTACCAGACTGGTAGTGAAGCCTGCACTTCATGACCCAGCGAACGGCTCTACTGTGTCAACAACCTTTGCTCATGTACGACTAGACGCTTTTGTATTCACAACTGAATGTCTCTCTCTCTCTCTACAGTTGAGTCAGGAGCAGTAGTTGCAGGAGTGTCCCTGCTGGCAGTAGTGCTGATGGCAATGACTGGTGCTCTGATGCACTAAGCCATACTGGTCAATAAAGGACACATAGGCTTTTAATGCATAATTAGAGACCAGTCAACACTTTACAGACTTGGCAGTACAGTATTGCCATAGAACGATTTAATTTAGCGCTTGTGGGATTTGCTCGCCCGCTCACCCCTTCCTCGATGGACATCCTCTTCTTCACACTCGGCTCTAATTATATACCTAGCCCTCCGTTTGACTCAAAAAACCCCATTACCTGAGTTACGCCTATATGTTACATAACGAGCTCCCAATCTCTAGCACTCTCGGAGAGATACAGAAGACAAACAAGATAAGCAGTGTGTAATCTATTGCTTACATAACATCGTCT